CCAAAAAACTTTTTTTTCCCAATAAATAACACCGTTCTAAGTAAGAGATGGAAAGCACCCACTGTGATGAAGAGTTACGTACAGGCTACACAGAGGCAACTAATGGTCGTGTACCAAAGGTAAGAAGATGACATCAAAGCATAGGTGAGAAAATGAGATCAAATCACCTACTGCCTAGATGAAGAGTTAAGTACAGACTACACATAGGCAACTAATGGTTCGGTTTTCGGTTTTCAGTCAAAAAATACCAGCCCTACTAGAAACTAATCAATAAACAACAGCCATAAGAGGAATCAATCCAACCCTGTACACAAACGAAATCCAAGCATACCACCTCCTCCTCGGAAATCCCAGATGGAGACAAGGCTCGTGGAGGTTGTGGTTGCTGTGAAGCGCTGATAGATATTGCCCTAACAAAACTCTTACTCAATTTTTTGAGCTTCAATACTGGAACGAGAAACCCCATTGTTGGGAATGGATAAAAGAGAAATGAGAAATGACGACCAATAACTAGAATTGAATCAGCAGCTCGCGAGACAACTGGCCAAAAACTGGGCCACACTTGAGCCAAAATAACTAGATTTGAATGTCATCACCAAGCCCATAAACTAATTCTGAACTTCAATATTATCAAGCATAAAATGAATTTAGTATATGAAAACACATATCAACACTTTGACCATTATTAATAAGCTGAAAATAGTTAGCCGTGGCATGTGCTATACTATCAGGCAACAAGATTCGTGTTTGGTGTATGATGACACACTCCTATTAAATTAGGAAAGATAAAATAAAATCATTCCACCAAATATATATATATATATATACATATATTAATATATATATAGAAAATCTATCTATTGCATGTTAATGAACAGAAAAAGTTCAGAATACCAAAAGTTTGCCGACTCGGATAGAGGCGACCGTTTTCGTTGGAACTTCACCCTCAGCCTTCGAATATTATTCAGTGCTCGGATACGTTTGCCGACTCGGACCAAAAGTTCAGAATACCAACAAAAAAAAGATTATCAATTAGTTTGTAAAATAAAAAAGAACATGGTACTTTAGATCTGACATCAATCCATTCATAAAACACTTGAAGCTAATTGACACAACAAGCAATTCTTATCAGAAAACTGAATTGTGTGAGTTCAAAATAAATAAATAAAAAAAAATTTAAAAAAAATAAAGAGTTAAAAAATGAAATTACCTTTAAGATTATAAATATATTGTTGTAATAGGCATCATCTTTGTCTTTCCCAAACATGGATCTATCATCTATATTCACTTGAAGATTTCGCAAGTCATAGTTTTCAAATGTTATGTGGCCGTCCCGTTTCTGTTGGACTCAGATGCGCAATGCGGAAGATGTAAATTAAAATATCTAGGTAAAATGGTAAACAATAATCCCAATCCCAGCAACTCAAGAATGACAAAAGAAAATTTCTTGCAATAAAACCAGAATAATTCTTTTCTGATGTGGAAGTTCATATTAAATTGCGACCACAGAGCATACTAAGAATATCCCAAATAAATATAATATGCAAGAAATAAGACACCAAGATTTAACGTGGAAAACCCTCCAAATAAAGGAAAAAACCACGGGACAACCTCCGAACAATTCCACTATATTTTCAAGATAATTACAATATTTTTTCACACTCCTTTACACAAGAAATGTAAAATATAGTGACCCAGTGAGACCTCACTCCTAAACAAGGAGTAATAGAGTTAATACCCAACCCGGTGTATTTTTCCCACACTCACAGGATTTACTCAAACACTCTATTTTTATCTCACTGAAAAATAACACTCAAAGATGTTATTTCTTCTCTCTTTTTCCTTCTTCTCCTCGGTGCGTCTTCTCTTCTGCTAAATACCTCCTATTTATAGGAGTGGATTGTGTATGTCAACAAAGAAAAAAAAAATGTTCCAGCTCTTTCATTGCATTTTCTTCTCATGTGGACAGCCTGCCACCATTTGTCTTTTCATTTGTTTATTTTTATTTTTATTTTTTATTTATTTGTTTGTTTGTGCCAACTAAAGTTTGTGGCAAGATTCCTTCATGTGGCTGGACCCCACAATTCTCCCCCTCCAGCCAAAGGGTAATATTCTGCAAATCTTCACATGCATTCCATGCCGATCAACTCGGCACAAAGCTGAAGCTTTCCCCCTGTTACAACTTTCGTCATCATGTCAGCAGGATTTTCGTCAGTGTGAATCTTTTCCAACTTGAACTGTTGTTCTCTCACTGCTTGTCGTAGCCAATGATATCTGACATCAATATGCTTCGTGCGAGAGTGGTACATCGCATTTTTACTCAAATCCAATGCGCTCTGACTATCACAATGGATATCGTACCTTTCCTGCCTCATTCCTAATTGTTGAAGAAACCTCTTCAACCAAAGCATTTCTTTGTCTGCTTCTGTCATTGCAATATACTCTGCTTCAGTAGTTGACAAGGCAACAGATTTCTGCAATTTAGATTGCCAAGATACAGCTCCTCCTGCAAATGTAAACACAAACCCCGAAGTAGACTTTCTACTATCAAGGTCACCTGCCATATCCGCATCTGTATAACCTTCAAGAACTGGGTTTCCTTTGCCGAAGCTCAAGGACTTATTTGCACTGCCTTTTAGGTACCTCAAGATCCACTTCACAGCTTCCCAATGATCCTTCCCAAGATTGGAAAGATACCTGCTAACAACTCCAACCGCGTGAGCGATATCTGGTCTGGTACAGACCATGGCATACATCAAACTCCCGACTGCCGAGGAGTATGGAACACCCGCCATAGCTTCTTTTTCTTCTTGACTCGTAGGACAACTTTGTTTGCTGAGTTTGAAGTGATTGGCCAACGGTGTATTGACCGGCTTAGCCGATTTCATGTTGAATCTCTCCAGAATCCGATTCACATACCGTTCTTGCGATAACCATAACCTCTTGGATTTTCGGTCTCGCTTGATCTGCATGCCCAAAATTTGTTTCGCAGGGCCCAAATCCTTCATTTCAAAGGACTTTGCTAAATCCTTCTTCAGATCACCAATCAACTTCATATCCTGTCCCACTATCAATATATCTTCTACATATAACAAAAGGATAATGAATCTATCACCTGGAAATTTCTTAACGAACACACAATGATCTACATCAGTCTTGGTATATCCATGGCTCGCCATGAACGAGTCAAACTTCTTATACCACTGTCTTGGAGCTTGTTTCAATCCATACAAACTCTTCTTCAATCTGCAAACCATGTGCTCCTTTCCAGTCTTCTCAAATCCTTCTGGTTGATCCATGTAGATTTCTTCATCTAGATCTCCATGAAGAAATGCAGTCTTCACATCTAGTTGTTCAAGCTCCAGATCCAAGCTAGCCACCAATCCGAGTACTACTCGAATAGAGCTCATCTTTACAACCGGAGAGAATATCTCATCAAAATCTATTCCTCGCTTTTGTCCAAATCCTTTCACGACTAAGCGAGCCTTGTACTTCAACAGCTTGTCACCATCTTTCTTAAGCTTGAACACCCATTTATTCTTCAAGGCTTTTCTGCCTTCCGGAAGCTTCACAAGCTCATAAGTTTTATTTTTCATCAGTGAATCCATTTCTTCTTGCATGGCTTTCATCCACTGGCATTTATCCTTATGAGTCTGTACTTCTTCAAAGCTTTCTGGCTCTCCTTCTTCAGTGATGGTAATATACGTGGAACTAGGGTATCTTGTAGACGGTTGGATCGCAAGATTTGATCTCCTGAGCTGAGGTGGAGCTTCGAGGTCTTCCTGCTCGACACCTTCACCACCGCCATCTTCTATTGTTGGCTCAACATCAACCCTGAGTTCTCCATCACACTCTCCCCTTGCTGTGGCATCTCCAGGAGGTTTGACAGGTGAAAGATCCACTTTTCCACTTGGTTCTCTGATTTCTGGTGAAGCAGAATCAGACATAGTTTCTTGCTCATGGAACACTACATCTCTGCTTCTGATAATTTTTCGATTTTCTGGATCCCATAACCTGTAGCCAAATTCCTCATCTCCATAGCCCAGAAATATACAAGGAATGGCTTTATCGTCAAGTTTTCGTCTATGTTCCTTGCTTACGTGAGCAAAAGCTTTGCATCCAAACACCTTCAAATGAGAGTATTTAACATCATGTCCGGACCATACTCTCTCAGGGATATCAAAGCCCAAAGGAACAGATGGAGATCGGTTGATCAGGTAGCACGCCGTTAGAACAGCTTCACCCCAGAATGGCTTAGGTAGCTTAGCCATTCTTAACATACACCTCACTTTCTCCATAATGGTTCTGTTGATTCTTTCAGCCACATCATTATGCTGTGGGGTTCCAGGTACAGTCTTCTCATGCCTGATGCCATGCTCGGCACAATAATTCTTGAATTCATGGGAAGTATACTCCCTCCCATTGTCTGAGCGAAGACACTTCAAAGGTTTACCAGCCTGTCTTTCCACCATAGCATGAAACCTTTTGAAGTATTGAAAAACTTCACCCTTCGTTCTCAATAAATACACCCACAATTTTCGTGAAGCATCATCAATAAATGTCACGAAATATCTGCTACCACCGAGACTCTCCACTTCCATGGGTCCACATACATCAGAATACACCATCTCCAACACATTTTCTTTCAACTTCGAGGTTTTGTTGAAAGACACTCTATGATGTTTCCAAAAGAGACAATAATCACAAGGATTGAGTTTTGAATCTTTGGCAAATGGGATGAGGGACTTTCTTGCCAAAATCTGTAATCCTTTTTACCAATATGAGCCAGTCTTTTGTGCCACAAATTTGGCGAAGCATCATCCTCGGCTGCATTCAATCCACCCTTGATCAGCTTCACTTGAGTTCTGTACAGTGTAGATCTCACTGTACCTCTAGCAGCTAACAACGATCCTTTGGTAAGCCTCCACGTGCCGTTACCAAAATTGTTAGTATAGCCTGCTAGATGCAATGCATGCACAGAGATCAGATTCAGACGTAAGTCCGGTACATGTCGCACATCCTTCAGTGTTATTGTGCACCCAATATCAGTTTGAATGCACACATCACCAACTCCCAC